TGTGTATGAATGTGTGTGTGTGTGTATGTGTGTGTGTGAATGTGTGTGTGTGTGAATGTGTGTGTGTGTGAATGTGTGTGTGTGAATGTGTGTGTGTGTGTGAATGTGTGTGTGTGTGTTTGTTTTTGTTTGTTTGTTTGTGTGTTTGTGTGTGTGTGAGTGTGTGTGAGAGTGAGTGTGTGTGTGTGTGTGTTTCTTTGTGTGTGTTTGTGCGTGTGTGTGTGTGTGTCTTGCAAGTGCATTGGTGCAACTGCCAAAACTGGCCACAACCATGCCGCCAGATTTTGCTTCGTCGCTCCTCAACTCATGAAAAACTTCCAGCGGAATTTCTCTCCAGAGCTCTCGGCTCGCACATGCTTCTGGGCTAGGTAGACAACCCGCCGCCTGGCCAGCCCTTTCACTTGGACTCGCGATTTCCTACCGTTTGTGCTGGGAGTGAACGAAACAGCTCTACCCGTGGCAGGCGTGTTTTATGACGACAGTGGTGGGCTCTGTCGCACCATTGGGCCTTCAAGAACTTGATGAAGTCACGCCCCATTTCCGGGTCGGTTCCACCGCCTCAGGCCCGCAAGTGTCGAACAAGCCTAACTAGGCCAGGCATCACCGAACTTGAAGTGCCAGGGGCGAAGAAGTTCTCCGAAGGACTCGCAAAGTCTGTGGCGGATCTGCGTGTCAGCAGATCACGGTCGGTGTCAGTGAAATGATCATCTTAGATGGACGTGCATTGCATTTTGCACCTGGTTCGCCTCATGCTCCAAATCTTGGCATTCATCCTCGCTGATGGTAGGCAGTCGTTCCTGCGGCCGAGAGATTGTCAATTCCGAGCCGGCAGATTTTCTCCCAAAGTCCTTCGCTGCCCTCTTGGCGCATGCAGAGCTCGAAAGCAGGGACATGGCCGCCATAGCCCAGGAAGGGAAGGGACCGGCCAGCTGAGCCGCAATGACAGGCAAGGATGCGTCTCAAAAGCTGTACTTGGACGACCAGTTTAGTAAACGACTGGCACACGTCCGCACTAAGACCTACGACCTACGACTAGGCAAGCCTCAAGTTCATCGCAGCATGTGGAAGTGGAGCCACTTCGGCGCCTTGCCAACTTTTTCGAACGCCTCTGCGACCATCTTGCCGATCACATCCTGGCATATCAAGGGTGATCTGGAAGATGAAGACGAAGTGGAAGAATCTCAAATCCTGCTCGCAGGCCCTAAACAAGTCTGTCAGCTTGACATCGCCATTTGCGGAGATGGTGGCTACCTGGTGCGTCAGATTGTAAGCACAGGAGCAAGACATCTTCATCTGGGTGTTGGCCTGCCTGTGCAATCTCCTTGGGAGAAGAGATGTCAGTCGCTCGCTTTTCCAAATCCTCACGATCCCAACCACTGCCAAGATGAAGAGCATGAAAACGACTCGCCTCCAGGACGATCTTGACCGAGGAATCAATTCCTCGCTTGACATCCTCGAAGGCTGAGGAGCAAGTCGCAGATGCCCGCACCACTTCGGAATCAGTTCCGCACCATAGGGTTCATTCCGGCCACGACCTGAGAACTGAAATTGCTAGTCACGAGTCTGGAGACTGTCGCAACAATGCGTTGCGACCCGAAACTGCTCAGGACAGAACGGCCTTTGTGCCTTCTCGGAAAATTGCACGGGCAAGCACTGTCGACCTCAAACTCTTGACAACCTATCACTGCAGCCACGATGGTGAGCATGGACTGAGATAACCGCGTTGTCGTGCCGTCGCCGGCAAGGTCGTTTGTCTTTGAGGCGACCTACGATAATCAGGTCGCAACGAAACTTCTCACGAAAATGAGCTGGGGTGAGCCTGTTTGATCAACGAAGCTCCCACATTTACGAGCTTGTTCTTAAACTCCTTAGACAAAGAAAACTGGCAGTGGAAAATGACGTCAGATCGCTGGGGCCAATGCTATAGCCTTGGCCACAGTAACACCGTCCTTGGTCACCTGTGTTGTCTGGGTGTGGGCATGAGCGGGCCAATGCTCGTGCCCACCCAAGTTGGTCTGTCTTCTTCTCCCACTGAACGGGCCAAGTCAGGCCCGATTGAGTCCACCCGTTTTTTCGGACCTTTGGGAGGGTGTGAAAGATTGGGAATGATGTGGTGTGTCTCTCCCCCTCTCCCTCTCCCTCTCACTCTCACTCTCCCTCTCCATCTCGCTATCTTTGCTATGCTTTGCTTTGGATGTGAGGTAGCAGCAGTCCTGCTACCCCGCGCCCCAAGGCGCTACCCCATCCATCATTTTGACAGATGGAGGGTGTCCAATGGACAGTGGGTGTGTTGTGCCTCCGTGGGGGCAGTGCACAAACCCCACGCTATCTCTGTCTCTCTTTCTCTTTTCTTCTTCTTCCTTCGGGTGTATGGGGCGTCTCAAGCCCCCCGGCCCCTAAGGGCCCCCCAATGTTCGGAGTTTTCGGGGGAAGGCAATGGTCACTTTTCTCGCTCTCTCTCTCCCTCTCTTTCTTTGCTTTGCCCCTGCTAGGGTTTCTTTTTTCTCTGCCTCTCTCTCTTTCTCTTTGCTTTGCTTTGCTTTGGGGTAAAGACTACGGGTTGCCCCGCAGCCCGCGCTTTCAAGCACCCCCTCCACCATTTTGTTGGAGGGGCTTGGCTGTACGAAAGGAGTGTTGGGCCGACACGTTTCGTCCTCTCTTTCTCTCTCTTCCTCTCTTCCTTTCGCCAGGGCTATGGGCAAAGGGACAGTTCCCCTCGCCCGCGCGCTTTCGCGCCCCGGACAGCTGCGGGAGGGCTTTGACAGAAAAGCTTGCACCACGAAGGCACCTGGCCGGGATGCAAGGTGATCTACAAGAAACGTACTGGCCAATTAAACAATGCTTCAGGTAGGAGGCAGGAAATGCGCTGTTTTTGGAGGCTCCGACGGCCCGTCAGACTATGGCACAAAACGGGGAAAGAGGGGAAGGTCCCCCGAGTTGGAGAAAAAACTCAAAGCAGAGCTGTAGTCGGCAAAAACATGCAGGCCGGTGCAGTCAGCTATTCCATGGGCTCCCTCTGTGCTTCCAAGCTGAAGGGTTGCCCGCATCCTGGCGCCGAGATCATGAATGCCAAAGGCATGAAGGGAGGCCGCGGATGAGACTGAAGTGAATTTGGGAATGCATTAGCGATTGCCGCATGTTTTGGTGAAGTGAAGTTTGCTTGGAAATGTTGATTGGATTTCTTCTGCAGTTTTGTAGAGAAGGAAGTTCTCGGAGTCATTGTGGATGAATCTGAACCTGCCCACGATGGCTTTGTACAGTGCAAGCAGCCTCCAATGGTCAGCCCAAATCGACTGTGATCCGAATCGGGCCAAAGGTCTCGAGTGAGAACAATGAACCAAGAATAATTGACTGTTGTTCAAAGATTTCTTGGTCGCTTCACGAATGCTGCCGTGTAGTCGTGTAATGGTTGAATGTTTGAATGATCCTCGACTGAAGTCAGGACCAGGGACTGTGTTAAATGATGCCACCCCTAGAAAGCTCCCAATGAACATGATGCATTGTCGGATGCTACGATGCCGAATGGCATTGGCTCAAGACTGCTCAAGGACTGGCTTGGTCGCACAAAGGAATGCTTGCTTGACTGTGTGTGTGTTAGCCGGGGAAAGTGATTGATCTTGGTCGGTTGCTCGGGATTGTTAGGATTGTACCCTTGACTGTTGCATGCCAGGCCTGTATGGGAGTTGGGGCTCGAAACCCGTCCCCCCTGCTCTTTTTCTTTCTCCAGAGCTAGGGTGAGGGGGTAGCCCCCCTTCACTTCGCGCGTTTGCAACCCCGACTGTTGTGGAGCGAATAATTCAAACTGAAGAAAAACAGCGATCCAGAACATAATCAGCAACTAAAGGCAAAGGCTTCGAAGTCTCGCTCGCGGGGGTTTGCCCCGTTTTTGGAGCCTGTTGTGGGTGTCATTGGAAACGAGTGCACAGCCGATCATGGATCTCCCATCGGAATGCAAGAACATAGACGAACAAAAGTTTTAAGTTCATTGTCCGGCCACTGCCAGGCTGTGGGAGACTCCGCTCCTCTGGAGTGTTTGGAAAAGCATCAGGGCGCCCATACGGGGCGAGTGGATCAGATTTGGGTTGGCTCCAGCGGCCCTTCGTTTTGGTATGTTATGGCACAAGCTCAGGAAAGGCCGAAGGAAATGGCTAAGTTGAGGAACAATCCATACTAGATGCGGGTCAGTCCTTTCCCCGGGTCTGGAAACACTTTGGAGTATGCATTGTCTCCCGAAGTAGCGGTGCAGACGGTTGTCTAGTTTGGTAGTCTGTGTTAATGGCTCCAGCGGCCCGTCTTGCAAAATTGAAAAGACAAACTTAGATTTCGGCGTCCCCCGAGAACAAAAGGTCGCGACAAACAGCATCAAGGACCAAACAAGCATATACAAAAGAACTATTTCCCTCGCTAGTTGCACACCAAAGATGCTCCGCTCAGTAACTGCAAAGGCTCAGCAGGGATCAGAACACTACAAAGGCGGCAGAGGATGAGGCGTCGTGCCATCCACCTGCTCGCTCTCTCTCCTCTCTCTCTCTCTCTCTCTCTCTGTGTGGCTCTTCTTCCACACAGTCAAAGGGTGAGCGGACAGCCCCCCCCTCGCGCGCGAGCGCGCCCTGCTGATCTCAGTCTGTGTGAAATTCGAGCTTGATGAGGACAGCAGTGCACAAACTCTGGAACCCCCCTGAAGTAACACTATAAGAAACCACCCCCCCTTTTCCTTCTTCCGCCAGGGCTGTGGACTAGGAGGTTGCCCCCCTAGCCCGCGCTCGTCCGCGCCCCGCCCGTTTTGGTGGGGCGTTGAGAGAAAAAAAAAAACCCTCTCTCTCTCTCTCTCTCTCTGTGCGGCCTTCGGAGCGCCGAAACTCTGTTCGATGACAACGTTGCGGCCCTGGCAATCAACGGGATGTGCGCAGAGATCTGATGGTTTATCGGATTACCGTCTATACAAGCCTTTATGCAACATCTCCCCAAGTTGTCTGCAACATCTATGTGCCATACGTCGGTTGGCGGCCACCTTGGGGCCGAGTGTAACTGCTACGGCATCAGCCAGCCGGTTGGCTCCTGTCACACAGGCGCAGACAACTTGGTAAAATCGTTCAACGCCGTTGCAAATGCAGTCCCACCGTGGAGCATGGCGGCTCTGGCACTGGTCCCATGTCTGATGTCCTTCGGCTCCCAACTCTTCACAGTGATCGCTTGACGGCTCCAGATCCTTGGAAGCGAATCCGCGAACACCTCGCCGGGCCTCAGCTGATAGAGCATGTTTTCATGCCATCCACGAAACATCTGCAAGCGGTGGGGGCCCACACAGCCACAGACAAGCCGGAGACCCGCATCGTGGAACTGCACGACATTTCATGATACGGAGTCATCGCAGTTTGTCAACACCTGGCCTTCAGGCCGGACAACTCGCCGCCAAGTAAGGAGGGACACTAGTCCCCAAGACAAAATTGGCTGAAACGGCGACAGTTGATGGTCGTCCAAAATGCACGATGCACTGCAATGCACTGCACTGCACCTAGCTGAAGGAGCCTGGATTCGCCAATATAACCCTCAGGTTCCAGACATTGGATCGCGCTTCTGCCCGTCTGGTATCAGAATGCTCTGTTTCTATCACCTACACTACCTCGCTGACATTGCTGCCAGGAGAGGCCAGGTGGGGTCCATGGTGCCCGGACGAATCCAACATCCGATCCTGCTTGAGGACGGCATGCTGCTTCTGCGAACTCTCCCTGCACTGTCCCCTTGCTTGCGGCGGAGACGGAGCCATGATCTGCGAGCTCTCGCCGTGGGGCTCCCCTCCCCATGTTCGCGTGCATGATTGTGCATGCTCTGAGACGTCCCTCAATCTAAGGCACAAATGACCCCATTCAGCCTCCCGGTTTCTATGGCCTGGTACGGACTGACTAAGTCTCGTGCTCCCTTCGGTTACTTCCCAGAGACCGGCTTCTCGATTCAGCTTTGCGGCACGACCAGGCACTACCATCGTGGCAATTGCCATGTCTCTGCGCTGCAGCCGCATGCACCCTCTAATTCAGGAAGCATTGACATGCATTGACATGAAATCTTCACAGCTGCCAGAAAGACACCCTTGGCAGGCTGTGCGGGCCAACTCGATCCCTTTGTTTCCTCACTGGAGGCCATGGATCCCGCACAATGCCGTTGTTGCCAGTTCTGTCTGCTGCTGCCACTGCTGGATGGCAAAATAACAACTTCGGAATGCTCGCTGGGGGAGCGTTTGGGCCCAAACTGGAGGTGAGTCGAAAATCAAGACATTCAACAAGGGCCACATGAGCTCATGTGGCTTATGTGTTGGAGCTCGGACTGAGCCCAGGGAACCGCCTCGTGCTTCAGGAAGTTTCGGTAGTTGAGCTCAGGATATCTCTCCATCCTAGGCCGGTGGGAAATCGACCGAGCTGCCAACATTGCTTAATTCAAAAACAGACATGCGTGGACCTGTTGCTGGAGCTGGTGAACGCGATTCAAGGCCGCGGCATGACTTGGAGCATTGCACGGCTTCGAAGATCCCTTTCCTGAAAATGAACGGAAGAAAGAATGTTGCTGCTGTTCCAGAGCACATTCTGCCTCGAGGACACGATCCGTCAGCCGATCAGCCATCCACTGAAGGGGATCCATCAATGGCATAACCTGGAAAGGCTGCTTCTGGCTGAGCGCCTTGAAAGCTTTCCGGCTGTCCTGGTAATCCTTGAGCTTTGCCCTGTACGGGAGCAAGGCCCTGTCAGCCAAAAGCTTTCAGATGCATGCAAAAGCCGACCCTCCAAGAACCCGGCATGTGCTGGGCCGTCACGACGGCCGCCACGAGTTCCTGGCAGGATGACCGTCTCCGTCAAAGTTTACGAGGCAATGCGTCATGCCATCAGAACCCACCCCACAGCGTTGGACAGTGAGTGTGTTCCAGCACCGCTCCCATTTTTCCATCAAGGCTTGATTCTAGTCTGGAAAAAACAGATCAGCACCCAAGCACTGAGCTGGACAGTAAGCGATCCATGCGACTTCGGTCATGCACACGAATGTTGACACAAGCGGCAACATGCACGTCGCAGCATGCATGTCGGAAAACGCTTCAGAGGCACCCGTTCTGCATGCAATCACGTGACTTCATACTAAGATCAATACGCAAGTCGGCGGGAGCCCTATGCCATTATATGCCATTGCAGCCTTCTGCTTCTTCCGAGACAGCATGGTCGTCCGTCGTGGCAGGATGTACCTCAAGTGTTTGAAAGATGAGCCAGCATTGGCAGGAATAGCGCCGGGCTTTGCAGTGGCACACCCGTTGTCAGCCAAGAAGTGCTGGATGATATCGAGGTCACGAAACGTAATCTTTTCCTTTGCAAGCTGTGCCTGACAGCAGCGTGATGCGCTGCCCATGTAATTTGTGGGGTCAATGCCTGCAGTGGCGTTGGCTCCCAGAATGTGTCGGGCAGTCGAAACGGCTTCGGCGGCATCTCCGGCATCTGACGCAAGGGCGCATAGAGCAGCTGAGCTATGCCACTCAGTCGATGGCCTCACGCTTGTGGTAGCTGCGGAAGGAGGAGGCGTAGGGATTCCGAACGGAGGCCATCCTGTGCCGGAAAAGCGGAAGAGTGCTGAGTCTCAGCAGTGCTCTCTGTTGAGAAACCCGCCCCGTTTCGCCCCGCCTGGCCAAGCTTCTTTTGATCTGGATCCGAGTCTGACAGCGGACAGCGGAAGCCGAACACACTGCACGCGACTGCATCCGCCCCATCCCAAATCAACTTCCAAACCGCGGACCCGCTTGGCTTCAGCAGCACCCACAATTTTTTGGTACTCGTCGAACTCCGCCGTGACCTCCAGCTAGGGCTTGACCCAGGTCAAGCATCACTTCGCTGTGGATCCAGGCTGTCCTGGCCTGCTGCTTCAGATCTTGCACCTGGTGAAATGGGCTCCAGTACGGATCGATGTTGTGCTTAATCTCATACCTCAGGGGAACTGGCAGCATTGCGCTTGACACTCAGCCGAAGGGACACATATGAACTTGAGCTGTTAGGATCGCACTTTTTGGAGTCGGATGTGACATCTCGCTCTGCATCCACTCGTGCGAAGATCTGCAGACGACCACGGCAGGGTTAACACTTCAGTGGGTTTCCTTTCGAAGCAGAAAACAGGCCGAGCCTTCCTTGTGAGCTCGATTTCGTCTTGCTTGAGTTTGGCTATGGGAAGGGTGTCCTCGGGAAATGTGGAACCCATTCTGCATCTGTCATGATGCCAATTGAATTTCCTCGGAGCACACCGAAAGACCTGAGTCCCTTCGCAAGCTGGCGGAAGCCAGGATCAGACTCTGCGGACAGTGCAGCCCTTCTTGCCCGGACCTCAATAGACCGTGCTGGCGTTCTCCCTTCGGAAGCCGCGATCATTGAGGCCCGTGCTCCGTTCACCAACTCCTGAGCACAGCACAGGGCACTCCGGAAACTCCACCGGCTCCCTGCCTGCACCAATGAGTCTGAAGTGCCGCGGTGGCTGACCTTAGCAACTTCAACCGGCCTGGGATCGCCTGGGCCTATGCTAACGATCTTCTGGTCGGCTGTTTTTGCGTTTTAAGAGACTCGGTTGCATCGTGACGTCTCTCAGCGTGTCTCAGGACTGTGATTGCACGAGAATCAAGTGACAAAATCTCCTTCATGGTCCAATGCATGGTCTGAGAGTATCGAGGATGCCCGCCTTCGCCTCCTGCATCTCAAGCCGAATTTGGTTTCCGCGGCCCTGTCAGGCAGGCTGAGTAGAAGCGCACCAGGACACGACGCCCAGCTTCTATGCCCTGTTTCTCAGGCTAGGCTGCTTGCAAAAGCCCAGATTCTGCGGCTGAGCTCCGAGCCGCCGGCACCGAAGAAAATCTCCATCTGGAAGCCCGCCCGCTCCTCACACAACGAGAACGCCATCGCTCTCCCCCGGAGCGCCGAGCCGACGCCGAGGAAACGAGGAAGTGCCAGGAGGCACTGCGCCCTTTTCCGCATGGCCGGCGATGGCTCCCCACTTCGAGGAAAAGCTCAGACAGCATAGACGGCTTCAGGACATGTGCCAGCATTACGCCTGGCATATACACGGCAAAGCGCCGGCCCAAGTCGCAGCGTCACTTTCGGCCGCTGATACACCGGGCAGCTTCAAACGGAGATTGCAGCGAGCTTCTCTCTCCAACGCACACCATTCATGTGAGGAGCTACTTCCTCCTCTTCTTGGAACTCCTCGAGACATCACAATCAACAGTCCACGTTGCGACAGCTTTCGGAGCGGGCCTTGTGTCGAGCCGGCAGCGAGACTGCGATCGGCTGCACTGGATCGCTCCAGGGATGAGAAGGGTCCTGGCCTTGGAAACTGCCAGCGCCTAAACAAGCTAGGCTGACAGATAACAGCTGGCACAATAAAGATGACGCCCAAGACCAATGCAAGGAAGGATGCCAACTGCACTGATTGAGGAGCATATGGCGGCAAATCCGAACTTCTGCAACTTGGAAGCACGCCCTTCGGTTGGCGCAAGTGCAATGTGTCCAAGTCATAGCCAACCTCTGGAACTCACACCGTCCAGCAAACATTCACCAATGCTAGACGGGACTGCTACAGGCAACCTAGCCCTGCAGGGCGCTGCAAACATGTAAGCCGATCGCCCCTGGTCAGCCTTACGACGAGTCGAAACGACGTCTCTCGGCTTGTGAACCCAAGCGAGATGCGAGGCAAGCCCAATTGCAGTCCGGCTTCAGTTCCGCAGCCTTGGAACTTCTCGGTTGCATAATGGCTTGCTAAGGAATCTAAAGATGCGTTACCAAAGTAAATGCTTGAACGTAAAATACCACCCTCCCACTTCCCCGATCAAGCTAAAGGCAGAATGCTGACTCGTCTTGCTGCGAATCATGTAACGCAGATGATAAGCCTGCGAGATTCAGCGCCCGCTACATGCCGTCACGTAAAGGCAAGGGTGGATTCCTTGAAAAAGGTTTTGATGGTAGTACGAAAGATACCTAAGGAGTAGTAGAAAGATACCGGTCGAAAAGAGGAAGCTAGCGCCTCGCACGTATCGACGAGAACCTGTGTGATGTCGGGATGAGATCACACCACGCACGAGGCAGATCGAGGCAGGTTCTGATCGATACTGAAGTTCATGTTGGAATGTCCGATTTCCGTTTCCACGTCCAAATGAGGGTCAAAAAGAACGTCGACTGTCTACAGTTGGTGAGTGCGCAAGGCAAAACAGCGGCTGGGAGGTGAGCCGTGCTACACTAAGTCAATACGTAATATACCAAGGACTCGCCCTCTCTATTGTTTGCTTGCTTGCTTGCTTGGGGTCTGAACCCCCGAGGGGGCTCCGGCCCGGAGGCCAACCCCTGAGGCTCTCTCTCTTTCTTTGGTGTGCTTTGCTTCGGGGTTGAGACACTGGCAGACCCAGTGCCCCGCGCTCTAGGCGCTTCCCCATCCAACCTGTGGTCAGATGGAGAGTCTGTACGTGGAGCGTACGGTGAGAAAGCCGAGTCCGGTTCGTGTGCCACCGTGGGGGCAGGTTCCCTACAGCTCAGTAATAGGTTCTCCGGTGGCTCATTTGTGGCTCGGTAAGATTGCGTGCTCTGTTTACACACCCCGACCTCACCTGCCTGACCCTGCCTGCATCCCGGACAGAAGCCTAACCCGTCAATCACTGTCTCGATCGTCCACTCGACCCTTCACCTCTGCCTACTGAATTTGTACCTCTGTGGGGGGGGGGGACCCAGCAAAACACTTCAAGGAACACCCATCAACAAACCCAAGTACACAGTCGCATCAATGGGTGCCCCGGGCTTACATTGGAGGTTCAACTGAAAAGGCTTGCGGGGGAAAAACGTGAATTAACGGCCTTCCACGCTTATGTTGGACAAGGCACACCTCTTGTGTGGTAGAAAGTGCACGTATCGAGCGCGCCCTTCAAGCGAATTCAACATGGCTCCCTAAGCTGTTGGAACGAATTGTACACGGAGGGAGCTTAGCTCCAGGCTTTTGGTTCACGGAAGTCTCTATGACACTTGCTTGCAAAAGGTGGTGCCGCCTTAGTTGGTCTTGTCCATCTGAATCGCTGTCTTTATGAACTTCTGTGCGAATCCCTCGCGTAGCTGCTTCCTCCTTTCTGCCCTGTGTGTTGCCGAGGTGGTTCGCTCGGCTCGGCTGGTCTGGTAGTCCCTGGTACCCAGTGTCGTAGTCGGGGCATCGGGTGGTATGCCCCGCCGTCGGCTGCCAGTGCTTCCGTTCCCCCGCAGTGGTGGGGGTGGTCATAGGCGTCCACCGCTCGTCTTTGCGCCACTGCGCGGTCCCCTCTCCGACGAAGCGCTGGTACTGTTGACTGCCACGGCGAAAGGTCCGCGGGCGGGTGCGGCCCCCACGCTACGGGGGTCGACGCATCTGAAGCAGGAGGTGCCTCCAGCCCGGTCTTTGCCTCCTTGAGCTGCTCCTTCACTGTTGGTCGCCGTGGTCGCTTGATGACGCTTTCCTTCCTTTGTATTTTTATTTTTCCTCTTTGTGTCTTTTTGGTGCCTCGTCTTTTTGTCCTCGGCCTTGTCTGCGCTCTCGTAGTTGAGGATGTCCAGGAGAGCCGGATCTTTGACCACTTCTTCACTGCTGAGTTCCTCGCTCTCCTGGTCCTCTTTTCCTGCTATTGGGGCTCCCTGCACTCAGAAGAACGTCCACCCCGGGAGGAGGCAGAGGCCACTCTCCGAGTACTCCCCACCGAGGGAAGGGCGGCAGGCCGACTTGAGCCTCCCTCTCTCTCTCTCTCTCTCTCTCTCTCTACCAGGCAAAAGGAAAGGGGCGTACACCCCACCCCTCGCACGCGAACGCGCACCTGCAAGTCTTGGCAGGGTTTTGCAACTTCCTGGCGGGCGTTCGCCCCCCCAGGCTCGGCTTTACAAAGCACGGCCACTGAAAGAAAAGGGAGTCCCCCAGCTG